GATGAATAGTCATTTAAATCCTGTGGGAGTGAGCAGGAAATCTCTTTTTCTTCCTTCATTTTTGTATATTTTCCCTGATACTTTTCATATGGAGAGAAATTCAAAGAACTGAGAACCAAATACCTATAAAGATTAAAAATAAACGTGGAGTTACAATTTCACTTATAAAAAAAAATCTATATATGGGAATAAAATAATCTAAATTATGGCGAGATGTAAGAAAAAAAAATAAAACGATCTCTCAATCAATAGCATCAGATACCCAATGAGATTGGGCAATAGGCATGTTCTTATTGTCTGTGCCATGCCAGGAAAGAGGAAGGGCTATTTTGAGCTACGTGTTTCCTTGTATTAGGCCCTAAATGGGAAGATGACTGAGTCTCAAGATTATGTAGCTCATTGTTGGGCTGAGGTGCAGTGTCCAAGCTCCAGCCTGTACTATTTCAGCTGCCATACCCTCAGGCATCCCCATTCCTACTTCTTCTAGCACATGACAAATACCAGACCTGCGTCCTCAAAAAGCTAACACCATACAGCCAATATAGACATGTGAAGATGTTTTCTTTGTTGGCCTTTTTAAATTGTCAAAATTTTACTTGTTGGCAAAAAAATCAATTTATATACAGAATTACATAAAGTAAAAAGATGAAGTCACCCATTTGTTTTAAAATGCATGCTGATCTCATTCGATCCTCGTGGCACCCCAGGGTGGTAGATGATGTTATCCTACCTCAGACACAGGTGATTGCTTAGAAAGATCAGGAAACCTATATGAAGACCTCCAGCAGTGTGCGATGGACCCGAAAGAGCAAGCTCAGTGTTCTTTCTGCCCCAGCTTTAAACCCACGAGGAAGGACATATGGGGAGGGTGCTCAGACAACCAGCCTCTCTCTGGGAGTGAGAGATGGCTCTCCGCTTGCATAGGGTCAGCAGGTGTGGCTCCTGTGGAGGTTGGTGTCAGTCTCTGAATCTGTGTGGCGGAGCTCCAGAATGGGCTGCTGGGGCACAGAGTATTCTCTTAATGGATCAAGGAGACGGCAGTCGGTGGAGGGGGAAGTATGGAGATTGGTATAAGCCCCAAACTTCAAAACCTGACCCTTCCTGAATGTTTACCTTATTGCTTTATTTTCAGAAATCATGAGGTCCAATGGATTTTGTCTAGCAAATACAGAAACTATTGTTATTGACCACAGTATACCAAACGGAAAAGAGCAACACCTGGGTGTGGATTCACCAGAACATTTGTAAGTCCACTGATTTGAATTTAGTTTTACAGATGGGATCTCTGAGCTGTTGGCTAGTGCCAGAGGCTGGGGTTCACTGCCACACAGAGCTCCATAGGCAGGAAGTAGATGTGGCCAGAAATGCTGAGCCATGCTGCCTATATTTGAACATTTATTTAAAGAGTTTGCCTTTTCTAGAGGACAGTGAGACCTTGATTCACAAACCTTGTGGGAACAGAGTTCCTTTGCCCAAGTGGCTGGCTGTGAGGGACCATCAAGGAGAAGTTGCCAGGCTTCAGTTCAGGGTTTGGTCCATGTTGGACCCTGAGAGGGTACCAGGGCCACAAGTCTTGTTCATAAGGCCTGGCCTCCTGGGATGGGGAGAAGTGTTACCTGCATATTGGCCTCACTTCGTAGGGCTGGAGGTTCTCCAGATTCCTAGGTGGCTGGGGCCTGGCCCAGTGGGCCCAGTCTGAAGGGAGTGAGCCTGTGTCTGATTAGCAAAGGTGGGGCAGCCAAACACACCACTTCTTCTTTCTTCTCCTTTCTTCTGGTAACAATTTGACCATGGCAAGTGCTCTAGGAAAGCACAGCCACCTCTATCCTTGGTATGCTTCCGGCCATCTCCTTGGGAATTATGGGGCAGCAGTTTGACAGGGCATCACAACTTGGCTTCTATTGACTGTCAAGGTCAAGCCCAGGGCTCTTATTGATTTTGTGAGTGTCCAGAAGTTACTTAACCTCTCCCACCTTCCCTTAACCGTCGGGACCCTTATGATCTCACAAGGTCGGGTGTTGTGAAGACCTCAGAGATGGAGTTTGAAATGCCTGGCTCAGGAGCTCCCAGAGGTAGCTCTGCATGCACAGTCTCCCTGTGGGCACACGAGAAGCACAACCCATGGGTGGAGGGGCCTCTTGGTGTCCCAGATCCTGGCCCATCCACTCAGCCAAAAATAAAAATGGGCTAGGACAGACTCACACACACACCTGGGTCCTAGCTCTGGCTCCACAATGTTCCTGGAGCAACCTTTTCTATCTCTAGAGGCCTTCTGCACCCTGGCATGAAGCCAGATTTTAGAAGTAAGTTCAGCTGTGAAGAGTTTTGCTGAGGAGAAGCACAGAGAGAAAGCAAGAGTGGTAACATGACTTTCCCAGCTATCTCGGATCTTCAAGTGGACGGAATTGACACAGCCTCAGTGTATGGCCACCTGTTCCAGGACACCTGGCCAGCAGGGAGAGAGAGCAAGGGAAACCTGTTATCCTAGGAAAGCTCAACAAGGAAATGTCCGTCCCCAAGCGGCTCAGGGGAGCCCTTAGAGGGAATTTCTGCCTGGGGCTTGCCAGGTACCTAATCTAGGGCAGCACAGCTAAGTTGATGGTCTGCTGCTGTCTGTCTCTTGGGAGTGGTCTGTTTTCACACTGCACAGGGCTGTCAGGCAGATGGTGTGTCTGGGGATGGGAGGTCACGAAGAGATGGCATTTGAGTAACTGGAGGCTTTACCTCCTGGCTTCAGCTGTTGTCAGTGGTGCTTCAGGGCGATCATTTGGCCCCAGGGCTGTGAATTCAATGCTGTCCAGCCTGCTCATTAGGACTTGTGCCATGGAGCCAAGTAGGTAGCTCCCACCTGTCCCCTGGGGAGAGCAGGTATCAGTACCCAGGACCAGAGACCCCACTGCACTCAGGGAATGAGTGTGTGTGCCTGATGGAGATTTGAGTCAGCAGGACAGCTGAGCCTCTGCTGGAGCGGTTGCCAGGCTTCTAGAAAATTCTTCCCCAGACTGAGGTGGCCCTCATCTGTCCTCAGGTTAGAAGCCCAGGTGTTTGCCAGGCCTGCCCAGGGCTGAGGTGACACATTCATCCCAGTTCTCCTTCCCTCAGGGTCATCTGACATGAGGGCAGGAAGTGAAAGGAGGGTAGGAAGCTGAGCAGGGCTGCATCTTGGCCTTCGCTGTGGTGACCCTGTCTCTCTCCTAGCTTGAGCATTTCCCTCTACCCAAGAGTTCCCTTTTGGTTAATTGCAATGCTGATTTGAAGGAAGAGATATACCATCTTATAATAAAGCTTGAGAGGTGGCCTTGCCTTTGTGAGACACGCTGCCTCACAGGCCACACTCACTTTTCTGCTAAACTCCATCTCTTTCTCTTTGCGAGCACCCTGCACTCCCAGGCAGGGCATGAGGAGGAGGAGGAGCTGGGCCCTAAGTCCTTCTCCTGCATCTCTGTACACCCCTTAATATGAAGTTGAAGAAAAACCCAGCTCTGTGGCTGCCCTTGGAGCCCCATGTTTGAAGCTAGAATGATTCTGCATTATATACTCTTTTTTATTTTTATTTTTTCTGTAACAGCAGCAGTGGCTTGAATGCATTGTGTGCTCTTGATGCAAAGGTAGGGCCCACATCTCTGCAACAGTTCAGCTCCCCAGCCAGTGTAACCAAGTCAGACACTCATTATTGTGTAGTTTGGTCAGTTTGTGTTCTTCCCAGTCTTCCAAAGTTTTCCAGATATAGTTGAGCTTCTATAAGGGTCTACTAGTTAGTGACGCCTTCAAGCGCTAGGAACCAATGCAGAGACAGGGTGTGCACTGTGGCTCATCCTTCCCACTTTCCTGTGAGAGCCAGGAAAGAGCTGCCCTACCCTCCTCTGCCAGGTCCTATCGTGCTTAGACTGATTCTTAGTTGAGGAAAATGTTTCTGAAAAAGCATAAGCAGCATCTCAGTATCCTTTCTTGGGGGAGAATGTACTTCCTGTACAATCATTTTTTAAAGATTAGAGTCTTATTGTTTTTCTGGTTTAGGAAGCCATGTCTGGATTAGACAAGGAGAGAAAATGGTTTCAATTCATAGGGGTATCAGTATGAAGAAGATATTTATGTCATCTCACATTTGGGATACATGTACCTCCTCTCCCCTCAAATGAAGGCTTCCCTTGAGAGCAACAGTCCTCAACCTTTTTGGTACCAGGGACCGGTAATTCTATGAGAATTGAATGCCTGATGATATGAGGTGGAGCTGAGGCGGTGATGCCAGCACTGGGGAGCAGCTGCAAATACAGATGAAATTTTGCTGGCTCACCCCCTGCTCACTTCCTGCTGTGCGGCCTAGTTCCTAACAGGCCACAGACTGGTACTAGTCTGTGGCCCAGGTGTTGGGGATCTCTGCTCTAAAGGGAGCCCTCCCTCTGCTGATGTCACCACCCTCACCCAGCACCTCTGTGGGCTCCTCCTGCTTCCCAGTCTCCTTCTTCATGTGTGCATGTGACCCGAGGTTACAGTTAAATTGTGAGCCTGTGACCACGATGGCTTTTATCACTCATCATTGCTATTGTCTGCAGGGCCCTGCACATGGTAGGCTCCTGTTCCCAAAGACAGGTCACCTGTTCTGTTCACTGCCGTGTTCCCAGAGCTTGATAGAGAATAGTCTCTAAATAGAGAAAAATCATTATTCTGTGAATGAATGAATGAATAAATGAATGCCTCAATAACTATTGGCTAATAAATATAGATAGCAGTCTCTAAGGCAGTAAAAACCAGAGCTGTAACAGTCTTTAAAATAGGCTCTATTTAACCTAACTAATTTGTAACCATGGTTTTGTCCACATTTCCTCAACGTGCATTGAAAAGGCTATGCCCACTGGTCCGATGACCTGTGCACTAAGAGCATCATGGAAAGCCCTCCATACTTTTTGACATTGCAAGCGACCTTCTGCCCTTTCTCCATTTCTTTGGGGCGGGGGGCAGTGAGCCAGCCTAACCCCTTACTTCTGTCCTTCCTATTTCAGATTTGAGAATGGTGGTGAGTTTACCTCAGAGCTGGAGGATGGCGAGGACCCAGCAGCTTATGTCACCAACCTGTCTTATTACCACCTGGTCCCCTTCGAGACAGACATTTTGGACTGAGTCTCCTTTGGATCCCCTCCTCCCTCAGCACTTGACTGCTGGTTCTGCTGGTGTCCACTGCACAAGCTTCAAGCCGGGGTTAGGCCATGCCCGCGGTGACCAGGCATGGCTGCCAGGCCCCACCCAGCAGCATGCACCAGTGAGGCCTGGTGTCCTGTGAGTGAGGCATCCAGGGTTTCCTGGGTTAAGGCTGACCCCAGGATCTCCAACAACCAGAAGTCAGATTTTGATTGCCCTGTGGAGCCTGCCGCTGCTGCTGAGGGGTCTTCTCTCTCCATTCCGTACTGCCAGCCTGTTTCTGCATTCCTAGGGCTCGCTCCCCACCTGTGTGTGGAGGAGCCACAAGTGCCTGCAGGACATTGATATACAAGGGCAGGACATCGATATGCAAGGGCAAGACATCCAGGGCTTTGCTGGGTTCTTCCTCTGCTGTTACTGCTTCCTGGAAAGGAAATCTTCCTCTTGGTACAGTGGCTGAGGGCCACCCGGACCTCTTTACCCTCACCACCCGTCACATGACAAGCGCACAAAACAATCCGTGTGAGGTTTTATTGAGTTGCCAAGTTCTGGACAACATAGGCATGGTATGTTAAGTAATCAGGATTTCCCTGGGAACCAGGATGTGCGGCTTTCATTTCTGTTTTTCATCTTCTATCAGGAAACTGTGGCTTTGTGTCAGCAAAGGGGCTGTTTACAGAAGTTTAATTGTGAATAGGAACAGGCACAGGGGAAATCATTGACAGTCAGGTGCCTGTATGAGTTGGGACTGGGTTAATGATTCTCCCCAAGAAGAAAAGAAATCCTGCCTGCCCTGCCAGCATCTCTTCAGGGTGACAGTGCTTTAACCACCCTGGGCATCTGAGGTTCACCTCTCCTGCTGTTTACCCAGCTCTCATTGTTGTAATTGCCATATTAACATGAAAGGGTGGGAATGAGAGGAAAGCAGTGAGTCTCCCCATCTCCCTTTGCTCTTGGGGAGGGGCTGGGTTCTTCGTGCTTATCTCACAGTGTCTACTAATGACCAACATTTGCTAATGTAAATAATAGTAAATTATTGAGAATCCTAATTCTTTTACAGTCTGTTTTTTAATCTATTTTAATTAAACAAAATATATTATTCTACTTTTATGGATTTAATGTGTTTGTGTATAAAGGTGTGACTCTTTTTAATCCCTGACAGGGAAGGGGTAGAAACCAAACACTGCCCCTGAGCACTGTCCTCTCTTTGTTATTTAGGAATGTGTTTTGTTCTCACCAGAGGGAGTAATCTGTCCAAATGAAAAGTGAACAAACAGATTTTCTCTTTGTTTAGGGTTTTCCCCTTCTCCTTGTTTCTTCTTGGCTGTACAGGAAACCTCTCCTGTGACCCAGCTGCACAGCATATGGGATTTCCGTGGATTTTCCGTTTCCCTTCTGCCTTCCAGCTGTGTTCATTTTCATGCATCTTGCTTTCAAATTCACTGTTAGTTCGCTGATGTGGGTTGACCAGGCCACATTTCTTCTCTTGAGGGATAAAATTCAGTTCTGCTCAAGGATAGGGCTACTTGCTTAGCAGTTAAGGTTAAACTCAATCACCATGTTTGGTTAATTATCGTCCAAGTTTCAATAACCGATTCCTGGAATTTCTTCATTACCCACGTGCCATGGGGAACTGCTCCCCAGCTGTCTGGCCTGTGCGATGGCAGCTCCCTGAGCTCGTCTGCTTATTTGGATTGTATTTCCCATCGGGTCCCGTGGTTGGCTCCCCAAGCTCTCTCTCAGTTTTCACTTGAGAAGTTTCACTGTTTCCGGTTAGTACACAATGAGTTCTTTAAAATAGGGGTCAAATGTTTGGATATTTGTTTTCTTATAAAACACAACAGTACATTATCTGGTTAACATTTTGTTCTGGAAAACACGATCTTCTAGGCCCGTTCTTCATGTTTCCACATTGGAAAGTGCCAGAAACACAGATAAATATTTAAGTGCAGCGGTAAATGGTTACCAGCACTCAGCATCACTGTGGGCAGGGCCATATGGAGTGGTGAGGACGCATTCACTATGTAAAGGGAGCAGTTACTACTGGATAGTATGGGTCCAATGCAGCCATTTCTCCGAGTTTTTCAATAGAAGCTGGAAATCTGAATTTTTTATGCGAAATATCTCAATTTTATAGTGTTGCAAAAAACAACAGTAACAATAAATTTAACCAAGTATAAGAATCGGAAATTTTCAGGCTTCAAACTTTCAGTTCAGAGAATCAATACCAGAGGAGTGCAGGTTCATGCATGACACTGCATCTTACCCAGACATTTCTCCAGAGACAGCTTTAGAACGATCTGCTTATCTTGTTATTTGCTCTGTGACATGTCCCTCATGCTGTCCTGATAACCAGAAGACCCTTGGCAGCAGTGGCCTGGGCACTCCCCATTATCACTAACAATTGTGAAAACTAGTGTTGTGAAATTTACTGCATTAGATAGGCTAAGTGATAGAACTTAAAACAAACACAAACTTTGGCAAATCAAATCATTTAAATCACCTAAGTTTGCTATTTGAAATGAACTTTCAGCAAATTCTATTTATAGGCAGAGAAATCATGTCCTCTTTTTTATAAATAGATACTGGATTTCACAGATGACCTTTGCTTGACGTGTAGGATGCACAATGTGGACGTGATCTAGGTCTGCCTTGTGATGATGCTGGCAGAATTGACATGCTGGGCATTACTTGTCCTTATGGGACAGTAGACAAGTTTAAGATACCTGCTAATCGAGCAGACTGGGGCTCATTAATAAAAACAGCTCTCATGGATATAACATTCATTAATAGGAATATATGCAGGGGTGTTGGCAACCAAACTGCTGCGAGTGATAGATATGTCCTAATCTTCACCACTTCCTCCCCTGGGGATCAAAAGCATTCTTGGTCTTCATTTAAGAGGGCATTCTCTCAAATTACAAGCATTTTTATTGCAAGTGAAATTTCTGTCCCTTGTCAGTTGTGCTAATATACCTCCTGCAGACCAATATTCTACTCTAAGCTCATACAGTTTTAAAATGTAGATTTTACTATCATATGAGTATGGCAAGGCCAACAAATCAGAAAGATTGCCATTGAAAAGATGGTTTGTTACTCACAGATCCCAAGAAAAGTGGATCACACTACACTGCAGCAGCACCACATTGGGAAGCTGCAGGGCTGTCAGGAGACAAAAGGGGGTGAGAGAGCTATGGGCAAGAGCCTTCACTGTGGCTTCTACAAGGAGGAACAGGTGAAGCAGGGGAAGCAGGTTTAAGATTGGCCAGACTGAATAATTTCAGTGGGCTCTGGGGCACAGGAGCTGTAACTAGTTTGGTACCTGGCCCTGGGGTGAGTAGGGCAGGTGGACAATGGTTCAGTTTGAGTGCCTCACAGAGGAGGTTGTGGGGTGAGGGCTCTGAATTGGTTGGTTTGCATTTGAAAAGCATGCTCAAAGGCAAGTTGTTTACTATCTCTAGGAATTGGCTTATCCTGAGAGGGGCAAGATCCCAAGATGTCTAAGCTTCAAATACGGAAACTAGAAAATGGAATTATGACACATATTATCCCTATGAATCCTTGGTCTGTGGAAGGATCTGATTTTATCCCCTGCAGAGGGCATAGAGAACACCAAAAGTGTGGCATGTCTTTATGCCTCATGCAAAAAAAAAATTCCAACAGGAACAAGGCTCTACATAGATATAGATGTTACTTTTTTTTAATCTGAATGTGTAATATGTTCCTGTAGTCCCCAAATCAAAATGATTTAAAAGGTTTTCCACAGAAAGTACCATTCCCTTTCCTGTCCCCATTCTATTTCTAACATTGATTAGTTTTAGTATATCCTTCTATTTCTTTATACAAATACCAAACAAATATGAGCATACACTTTTTAGAGAATAACTAAAAGAATTCCTCTATATAATTTAGCATTCATAGTCAATAATAATGTGTCTTGAAGCATTTTAGAAATAGATGATCTACTCAAACCTGGTAAGGTTTGCTTCTAATCAAAAAGTGAATGAGTAAAAGGCTGGCTGATGTGCAGTGTATCAAATCTTAGACATACTTAACTTCATTAAGTTTCTGGGCAAAGTGTTAGAATTTCTATCATTTGCTCCTGTCTGTCTTGGGGCTTGAGATGAGAATAGAGGTTTTGGGAGCTGGCAGAGGGTTGTGATTTTGCCGTAAGCTAGGGGACGCTCTTGGGCTACCATTAGTAAATTCTGAGAGCAAATCTTTCTCCTGTGGGTGTATTCACACTAAACGACCTTGAGGCAGATGTCCAAACACCATAATGCCTGGCCATTTATTTATTTACAATCGAAACAACTGACCCAGAAATCAGAATACTTAGAAGTTGTGGCTGGCCAGTGCATTCACTTCCAGTGAAGAATTTCAAGTGAGAGAAGTCAAATAATCTAAAGCTGGCTCCGGGAATATGAAAATTGGAAAAGAGAATTCATTAAATACCTGGAAATACCATTGGTACCAAGACTTCTGAGTTTTAATGGAAAGCATTATACACCACAAAAAGTCAACAAAGTAACAGTTTAAAAAAGTGATATTTCCAAGAAAATATATCCACATATCTGGGGCGGGAAAGTGACTATTCTGTGTTTTTTTTTTCTCATTTCTCTGCAGACAGGTGAAGATTTATTATAGACAGGCAATGAGTTTACTGGAAACCCAAGTTGAATGAAGAGACAGGAGAGTCGACCACACCAATGGAAATCCAAACACTAACATGTCCAAAGGCAGGGCTGGGTGTGGTGGGGAGTACCCTCTTCTTGGTCTTGTAGCATCCTTGCTCAACAAGTAAATACTTTTCCAAGAAGAGTGTCTTTGTAGGGGGATGGGGCACATGTTTCCCTTTTCTAACTACGTCCTTTTAGATGGAACAATTATGGCTTGCTACTGTACTAAGCACTCAAAGTTGGTTGGGTTGGTAAGCTTCTCCACAGAGTGGTGCTTGGTAGACACTGAACAAGTTTGCAATGCTACTGTGGCTGACTGGCCTTTACCTAGACACATTATTTCTTCGGAGACTTGAATACATTCAGACATGTCTTACAGTTAAGTCTTGGGATCCATTCTTCCCATTTAAAGAGAATTTGCATGTTTCAGTTCTAATCAGTTAAGAGTTAAGTTTGGAGTATAACTCACAATGACAATCTTGTTATTTTATTTTCTGAGTAGGTATTGTTTGCATATGTTACAACATTTTTTAAAACACAAAGGGATGCTCTTTGAAAAGCAAGTGTCTGCCCACGCTTGTCCTCTAGCTATCCAGTTCCCCGACCCAATCATTAGAACCAGTTTCTTTAGTACACTTCAGAAGCATATATGAATAAAACTTTTCTAAATATATGCACCTGGCTTTCTCACTTAATGATTTAGCTTGGAGAAATTCACGGAACTGTCTCTCTCTTTTTTTTTTTTTTTTACCTAAATGCATTTATTTAGCTAAGTAACTTTTTCCTTTTTCTTTTATTTCCTTAAATCCTCTTTTTCTGTTTCTCTTTCAATTTTATTTTGTATATGGATAAACCATTCACATATTTCAAAATATCAATCTGTACTCACTATTTATTCAAGAAATACTTATTGAGCACCTACTACATGCCACTGTCCTAGATGCAAGGGATATAGTAGCAAACAATGAAGCTTATTTCTAATGGAGGGAGCCAGCAATAGACAGAATAAGTGAATTATATAGAATATTAGAAGGTAAATGGGATGACGTGGAGAAAAAATAAACATTAGTGAAGAGTCTGAGAATGGTTGAAGGTGGTTATGCGGGTGCACTTAAGGTGAAATTCGAATAAAGGTGAGGGAGCAGGCCGTGTGGACCTTGCAGGCCATTGTAAGGCATTGGTTTTACTCTGAGATGGGAACCACTGGAGGTTTTAAACAGAGGAGTACCAGGATGTGACGTATATACGGGTCGTTCTGGCTGCTGGGTGGACAATATGTTTCAGGGGCCAGAGTGGAAGCAGGGAGACTAGTTAAAGGGTATTGTAGGGATCCAGGCAGGAGATGGTGGTAGATTGCGGTGATAACACTGCAAGTAGTGAACAGTGGTCAGATTTGTGTGGGGTGTGAGAGAAGAGGACTCAAGGG